ACACACACACACACACACACACACACACACACACACACACACACACACACACACACACACACACACACACACACACACACACACACAGGCAGACAGACAGACAGACAGGCAGACAGGCAGACAGGCAGACAGACTGATGAGAAATCCTTCAAAAAATTCGTTGATCCAGATCTGGATTCGGATCACCACCAAAATCTAATCGATTGGTTCTTGGCCCAAGACCAACCCGTCCAGATGAGACGGGATACTAGAGAAGCGTTGCCGAAAGGAGGTGTTGATCCCAAGCGCTATAAGCGCAGATCTTGCGCGCAATTCCGCGGCAAGGCGCACGCCGCCACAGCGTAACAGTCCCCCCCACCATCTTGCTGGTACACCCAATATAGAGTTTGATAACATTTAAAAAAAATTTGAAGAAAAATAGATCAATGATTTTTTATGAATTTTGAATGCGTCCGAAGTTTCTCCACAAAAAAAATAAAAATATATAAAAAATCCTGGATCCAGATCTGGATCCGGATCACCACCAAAATCTAATCGATTGGTTGTTGGCTCAAGACCAACCCGTCCAAAAAAAATTCATCAAAATCCGTCCGTATTTTTTTTACATATCGTGTTGACAGACAAACCAATAAACAAACCAACAAACAAACTAACAGGGGCGAAAACATACCCTCCTTGGCGGAGGTAAAAAACAAACGAACAGGGGCGAAAACAAACCTCCTTGGCGGAGGTAATTATAATAATTATGATATGGCAGTCATTCAGAAAACATGATTCACGTTATGGATTTTCGCGATACGAGCGTTTTTTCTCTGGAACGCATTACTTACGTAACGCATGGGTGATTGTGCACGTACACATGACTGGTGAACGCAAGCGCGCACGCACATACGTGACTGCGAGGACGTTTGAATTAGAATCTTGGTAAGCAGGGATGGAAACCCGAGGGATATGCTATGCGTCCCACAACCGTGGCGATCACGCGATAAAAATTTAACAGTGTAGCTATAACCGGTTAGGATTTAACTCCGATAACGTATGTGGATATTCGGTCGAGGATTGGAAATCCCTCCAACTACTCGACCAATTATCACTGACCTACACACGAAGGTCAGACCATAGACAATATCCCTCATAGATTTGCACACGCTGACAGGACAAGAAACACAGGCAGCACGTGGAGAACAACATAGATGGCTCGCACGACAGCCGAGATGGCTGAGACCCACCTTCAGCAGCGAGACGACTGAGACCTACCTTCAGCAGCGAGGCAACTGAGACCCACCTTCAGCTACGAGGCGACTGAGACCCACCTTCAGCTACGAGGCGACTGAGACCTACCTTCAGCAGCGAGGCAACTGAGACCTACCTTCAGCAGCGAGGCAACTGAGACCTACCTTCAGCAGTGAGGCGACTGAGACCTACCTTCAGCAGCGAGGTGACTGAGACCCACCTTCAGCAGCGAGGTGACTGAGACCCACCTTCAGCTACGAGGCGACTGAGACCTACCTTCAGCAGTGAGGCAACTGTGTGAACGGAGTAGTCCTGTAGATTGGCGCTCTTGCCATTCCTCAGAATGCGCATCAACTGCTTCACGCTGTTCTGGTTGCCGGGCGCTCGAAAAACCTCCTTCTTGTGCGGACCTTCCGCCGTGATCTTCAGTATCAGCACCTGCATAAGTAAACACATGTCTGACAGGTGCAACAGCAGAGAGAAGTTGGCTGCACTGACTCACTGAGGTGTTAACGCGAAGTCAGCAGGTGAGAATTATATACTTTACATCAGCTACGCAATCATTTGAGAAAATAGCCCAGCTAAAAATTCGCGTGATCTTGACACTTGATCGAGCTGCAGAAATTGGGCCACACATTCACAGTGTGTGCGCTAATCCCAGGTGCTGAAGTCATCAGTTCTTACTAAAGCGGAATAGCTCATCTTTATTCACGCATAAACACCATGAATGATATGTCACTCATTAACTGCAAGCGTTTTTATATAGATGCAAATTAGTTTTATGAAAGTATCAGTCAGACGGCAAAAGAATATAGGAATTAGGATGAAGAAATTCCTGCTTGGTGGCAGACAGCACATTAAATACAGAATATATATGTTCTACTTGTGTTAATTTGTTTGATTATTTCAAGAGCGTATTAAGTAGGGCCTGAGTACACATACTTAATATGCTCTTAATTATTTGCTTGATGCTCTGGGTGTATTGTTTTTTTGTGGATAGACTTATGTTGATTCCAGCATCGAAGGTGCTCAGCCTAGCACAATCTGGTACAGGAGTACAGGAGTGTCTGTCTGCGCCTTGTTAAACACCATCACATGTGGTGCATATTTAGAAAACATAGAGACATGCTTTCAAAAATCTTTGCGCTATTACGTGTACATGTTTATACAAGCAATACAGCACGGTGACTGATCGCAAGAACTGCTATCATATATTTAGGACCTGTGTATTAAAACCATCTATCATTAAACGCGTTAATAATACCTCTGATTTACTGCTGTTACAAAAGTTACGCTAAATAACAAACTTCAGCAAATCCAAAACTTGTTTATAATTGCAATGACTAACATAACCTCGGTGAATTGAAGTATGAACTTTAAATTTCTGGTGCCGTAACATGTTGGCGTTTGGACTCTGTGCCCCAAGTGTGACTCAGCACACTCATCACCAAGGTCCAGCTATCTCCGTCTATAAGCCAAAGACACGGTACTGCAGTAATATACAGGCAGATGTGCAGCAAGCCATCGAGATGGAGACGAACATTGGGTAAAACGGGGTATTTTTTCCTCACCGAACCCGCTTAGCACTGCATGTAAATATTATAACCACGGCGATAAACAGCGATCGGCTTCCGTGCAATCGCTTAGCATCACTGATGATCGACACTGCACCGTATACTATAGTCGCCTTGAACTCTGCCGGAAAGCATCGGAGCACCGGTCAACCTGGCAGCCGGATATCCCGCGTTGATGTTCAAACAACCACAGATATTTACGGTTTATTTCTTACCACCATTACATTACCATCATTTGCTAAACGACCATACCACTTCTTGTATGAGCCAAATCACACCAAGTTACCTGCCGATTTAATATTATAGGGGAATATTATAGCAGGTATTAGCCAATCAGAATTAGCGATATTCCAAAACAGTAAAACAGTAACCACCGACGCTAAAAATGTTTTATTCGAGGTGAATTATATTCAACACTGCTCCTGATAGGCTTAAAATTGGCTATAAAATAACCTTAAAGAAAACAAGTTGAATTTGGAGTATCCCAGCTATATATATATCTGTTTGGCCCAGTAAAACAACAATTCAAAGTGCAGACATAATAACTTAACCCAACAAAGTAGGGTAACCGGAGTGTGTTGGTCAATTGCTTTTTTAGGGGTATAAAATACTTAATTCTGAATATGGTGACCAAGATGGGTCACAACACGTGCATTAGCGCTGTGCTAACGTAGTGGTTAAAAACTGCCAAATCTTCGTTTAAACCTTTGCGTGCCAGAGCACAAGCTAGCAATCAGCAACTAGGTTCGTAGCCGTTCTCACCAAGAATTCCGCATTCGTGGAAACGCCGTGTGGCAAGCACACAAACAGTCATTCGCGTGCAAATAAACCATTAGGTAAACTTTTCGCTGGAATGCTTTTGGGAAGCAAAATATGTGCGCGAAAAAAAGAATCAGAAAGAAAGTTAGAGAATTATGCAGCTGAGAAAATGCGAGTTTGTCAGTAGGCTTAGTGTAGGTTACATCACAAGTTCTAAAAAATCTAATCCTTGTGAAAATAAGGCAGGTTCAGCCATAGCATACATAACGAGATCGAAATCATAAAATCAGCATGATCGATGTAGATTGGGATAAAGGATCTTCAAAAGATTCTTCAAGGAGCCTGGACATGTAACAGCAGACATTGAAATAAACGTGCGCTTAGAATAATTCATGTATAGTAAGTCTTATAAACGTATAATAAACGAATTTAAATTTTAATATAAGGAGACTGGATTTAAAATAATTATGCGTGCAGACAAACACAACTTGTGCGCCAGTATAACGACCAGCTAAATAGCACATGCATGCATGGATAGGTGCAGGCAGATAATTCTATTGTCTAGGAAATTCTCTGGAACAATACAGCGAGTGCCTTCTATTCCGGTGGGTGCACTCACTTGTTCAGCAAGCGACCGCACATACCCATTAGCGGCTGTATGCGTGGGTGCGACTTGTACTGTACACGCGCGCAGCCTTACCAGCCCCTTACCCTGAGTTTGAAGCAATTACAAGACGATTCACTCACATCTGGAAGGAGTTGCTGGGGGTTTTAGTTGCAGGCATCTGATACCTTTCCCTCCCATCCCTCCAACAATCAAAAACACGCAGCCGGCGGGTAGATCGTTTTAAGGATCTGGTTCTCTAACCGACTGCCACGTTAAAAAGAAGCAAATAGCATGCAGCAGCACCCACCGCTCGCTGGGCCCACAGCCAGGCCGACTTCGCGCATAAAACAGGCCGACGACTAACCTTGCCGGCTCTTAGCAGCTAAGCTTTTCTCGGGCTTACAATGCCGTTACACAAACGTGGGCCAGCTCTCAAGTTCACGAGAGCTAACGTGAGTGCAAAGCTGTCGGTCTTAACGCGTACGCCCGCCGCTACGTGCATGTATGTGCGTGCATGCACACAAGTAGCGGAGATCAGAGCACAATGTGTGCCTCTCGCAAATCTAGTGGGGAACGTAGCATTTTCACTTTTATTTCACCGCTTGTCATGCAGCCGAGTCGTCTTAGGGGTCCGAACTGCTGTAGCCCAACTAGCTGCTGTACACAGTCTACACTGAAATACCCGCACACGGAATAGCCTCAATAGGAGCTGCCAACTACTTAGGCCACCCTTATAAGATTTCTTGTTCAGCGCAATAACATAACTGATGAGCTAGAATATATATGAAAACTGAGCAAATCTGTAACGTTTATTACCAACTAGGTCTGTTCACCATGCACATGTGTATTTGGCGATGCTGCGTGTACACCGAACAGAAGCGATTATAAACCTGCATGCAGTATGCAGATCACTCTGCTATAAACTTCGGGAGCGACATACTGCAAACCGGACCGACGAGGAGCTTCCCTGATTTCAAATCGACTAAGAATAAACCATAATTTAATGCTGTTGCGAGTTCTACTTTACGTACACACATGCGTGCAGTGTGTTTGTCAACAACTTTAGCTAACAAAATAGTTATTGCTTTCTGGCTGACACCTGCATATATGTCTTCAACTAATACCATTCAGCAACAAGGGTATAAATATTGATGGAATCTTCTACGCAACACCAGGAGGAGTGTTAGTTACTCAGTATGGCTACGAATGTTGCCTCACTACTGGAGAAAAATCATTATGCAGCAGAAAAAGCAGGAGATCCACACACCTGCCAAAGTGCATATTAATTTTTAATTACAGAGCACTATTGGCTTCTTATGAATCAATATGTGTATCTATATATAGAATCCTATAGCAATGCATATATATGGAACAGTATGTCTACAAATAATAAATTACCTAATGATATATACATAACAAAGGTAACTTACCAAAAGAGATGCAGGAATGTTTGGTTTACATATTTCTTCAAACGGCAGACCGAATCTCAATCTGTAAAATACCAAATCCATATATATATGTTCATTAAGGTTTTTAACTATATTGTTTAATTCAATGTTTTAAAATTAAACATGCCACTGTTGAATGGTAATTCATGTGAATCATACATGACCAAAACCCTGTTTTCCCGGCAAGTATCTGGACCTTTACAATTTGTTTTGTTAGCTCTGGTGTACATTATACACGTGCCTGCATCCTGCCTGCATGTGTTCAACAGATGCCAGTGGGAAATAAGTAACGTTGCTATAAGTATAACTCACTTCGATTTTCATTTTCCAACCCTGAGCAACTAATTTACAGTGCTTGAGTTGAGGCACCACAGTTGAGGCAAAACATGCAAAAATGTTAACTAAAAATATTTTACATTTGGCTGATGCCAAGCACATATGCTCTGCCTCTGGCAGCCAGGCACAGGTCTCTTCTAACCCTGTCTAATGTGTTCTAAATGCCCTGGCCAATGGCCATATATTTTTTCCAAAAACCCACATGCCTGATAATAAATTCATTTATTCCACCTATCTAAACCTTAAATTGTAACAACATAACCCAAATAGTCAACACTGTCATTGCACATCCATAAAAATAGGTACAGTCCGACCTCCTTTATCCGGCCACGCCAGATAAAGTACCCATCCGGATATGGGATTTGACCAGATATGAGAGTTATGCTCAAACACAGCATTTCTATGCAGTTCAGTAGGGTTTATGCATGTGATAATGTATTTACTCGTTGCTATGATTATTTGTAACAAACTGTCGTGTTTTATCGTATATATATCAAATGGAAATAAAATGAAATAAAACAGAAACTTTACCAGAGGCATAGCGGACACGAGTGGACAACACACACACACACGCCCGCGCACATGTACGCAAACATACGTACGATTGGTACATCGCGCGAGTTTTGAGCAAGATTTTTAGGTGGAAATGAATGAAAAACAGAGAACATACACTGCGAGATCACGGCCGATTATATAGATTTCCGGATAACGGATGGCGGATAAAGGAGGTCGGACTGTAATTAGAAAATTTAAAATACATATATATATATATATATATATATATACGTGAATGATGTATTATTCTACTCAACCTGAACATGCAAATTCATATTTGGTAGCAAACAGCGAGTTATATTGTTAATAGGCACAGGTAATACTACAGGTAATACTACAGATAATACTACACGTAATACTACACGTAATACTACACGTAATACTACAGGTAATACTACAGATAATACTACACGTAATACTACACGTAATACTACAGGTAATACTACAGATAATACTACACGTAATACTACACGTAATACTACACGTAATACTACATTGAAGTAATACTACAGGTAATACTACAGGTACACATGTACAGGCAGTAAACGTAAGCACGATAGCAAAACAGGGAGAGAAGGGTGGGAGAGAGAGAGAGAGAAAGGGACCGAAAAGGAAAAAGAAAACAAATTAGAGAGGGCCAGTGGGGAGAGAAGGAGGGACAACACACATGGCCATCTTGGTTTTCTTGTGTGAGAATACACACTGATAATGGCCATCTGTATTGCACCTACACGAATTCTTAACAGTGAGACTAATCCAATAATATGTATATATATACATACATGTGTAATGAAAATACCCATGGTCTTTACTAGAACCATCACTTTATATAACAATAATAACTGAATCAGAAGCGATGAGTGACTCCCTGAAAATTCTGCTATATACTAACTAGTTCGTTCCAGAGCACGGCCTCGCGGAATTACCGTATTTTTTCAGCAAATGTCCAAAGAAAATTTGGCAGACGTGCAACTGCATGAATCTTCAAAATAAGCACATGCGTTATTGTTTTATCTTTAGTCTTGAACTTCAGATTGCGGACTCCCTCATTTTGCTGCAGACTCCCTCTTTTTGAAGGCAGGGAGTCCGTTGGATTCCCTTGTTCAAAAGTTAATTTCTACTCCTGCATGTGTGTTTGTGTATGTGAGTGTGCACTGTGCACAGGTAGATATATAGTAGCAGATAAAAATTAGGAATGTACATTTCATGTCATGAAGGACACCCAACATTAGGAACTTGAAAGAAACTATTATAGTCAACTTTAAATACAAAATTATGCATTTTCTTGAAATTGCATGTACATCAGTCTGAAGAGCACGCCATTTCTTGATGAGGAATCACATGTACGTGCAAGATTCCAGATGTCAATCTGCGTGCATTGAGTACATATAGCTAGTAGCGTTACGTGGGCAGGACACTCCATAGATATAACATCATCCTGCTACACATGACTATTAAATAAGGCTATCTTTCACAATTGAGCAGTATGCAGCTATATCCACTCACATTAATTCAATGTTGTTGTTACTTGCATTGAGCAAAGCTAAACTTGTGAAACTAACCTCTTCCTGTTCTAAGAGTTTCCTAAGCTTTTGGCACAATGATCAGTAATCTTATGATATCTTTACAAAATAATTCAAGTGAAAAGCAGTGAGCTTGTACAAGGCCATTTTTGTTGTGTGCCATTTCTATCATTCCTTGGCTTTGGCAAAAATCAATTTTTCGATCGGAAAGCCATGTGAATACAACACATGCATACATGATGCATGTATGGAAATACCAGCATAGGACTGACCAATAAAATTGACCAAATGGACTGACCAATAGGACTGACCAAATGGACTGATCACGTCCGAGTTATACCACTTTGGCCAAAACAGAGCGACAACAAGGAAGGTAATGTATTGCACTCAAGATTCAGGTATAGGGAAAAAAATTGAGCTTTTTGGCACTGCCACTGGACAGCAGATTTTTACATTTTTACATCAGAGAAGCTCTGCCAATTTCCGATCACTTGGCACCACAAAACTATGTATATCCATGGCTTGAAAATAACCTAAAACCTTCCCTAGCCATTAGGGATAGACATCTGTTTAAATCTAACAACCCTTAACGATGTCTACCAGCCCTGAATTATCTGGTGTGTGGTGCTGAACTGCCATGGTGAGCAGTTAGCATCTCACAGGAGGATTATACGCATGGGTGGGTCTGTCGGGGTATGCCTGCTCAAATTTAGTGATAAAATTGATGTTTGCACACACACATTTTATACTTAAATCAGATGGGATCAGTTGCATCACCAGCACTTGCCAGCAGGGCTGGTCAGCCAAGACATGCTACTAGCCCTTATGGATTTCCACGAACCTCGAGTGAGTGGGCGAGCGTTAGTTTCAGGCCCTGTATATCTCAAATAAAATAATTATCATTTATATTTCGACTTGTTTCTTATCACATTTTTATATTATTCCAGCGTCGTTATTAGTACTTCTACCTTTCTTTCCTGTCTACAATTACCTAAAACATGAGATAATTAAGTGAAATAAAAACGCTAATCACATGATGACGCCACATGCTTGCCTTTTCTAATATCACCATTGTTTGGTTTCCAAACTGAGCAAGGCAAAAATAGCAACCATGACATTGTTTTGATTTCATTTGTCTCATAAAATAAGGTATAGCTTGATAATTAAGTAGTGCCAAGTTACTGCAAGAAAGCAGGGGTTTAATGATTCAATTGAGCTATAGCATGTCTCGCTAACATTGACAATGTTTGAAGTCTCAGCCAACTACACGTTTTATCTACAGCAAAAGTTTGAAATAGACTTTTGAGGTATGACCATTTCTTGGAGCTAAATTAAAGCGATCATTGCGAGTTTTTTTCAGCGTTTTTTAGTGTTTATTCTCACTCTCAAGATGCCTACCGTTGTTGCTTGA